TCCCCACTTTCAAGGATTTAACACATATTCTTGGTTATTTCACCCACTTTCATTAGTTTGAGTAAAATACCATTTTACCCTTATTCTTTAATTTTTTCTATTGCTTTACGAATCGTATTATCTGCATCACATCACGTGTATTTCTATAATCTTTCTACACTCTATTCTCACGGCTAGCACACTAAACATTATATTTATCATACTCATTTCATTGAACACTGATTCTGTGTGAAATGACCATTTTGCCTATTGAAACTTTATGGAATTCTCTATAAAACTAGTAAATATATTCACATGACTATAAAATAATCTCTACCTATTTCTGAATGTGGGTATTACATTTCTCTCCCCTTATAAGAATTTCTCCCCGAAATTCTAGCACTTTCATTCTTGCTTACCCATCGCTAGCCTTCTTACTTGTGTGTCCTTCAGAGGACTCTCATAGTGGAATATTCTGATCAGAATTTTAATCTTTGTCCAGTATGAACTGGTTGTTCTTATACACTAGATTCTCTTCTATTTCCTTCATTTGTCGTGATACATACAAAGATCACTCACAACTTGCCAAGCTACAGACATGGGATAGATCAAGTATCATAGCTGTACTACAATAAATCTACAGGTTCCTTGTCTGTTCTTTGCGATATCCAATTGGGCTTAAATTTATGATTTTCTTATCTATGCTGAATCTTAAGGCATATTTATGAGGGCAATTCTTAACAAAAACTCTGTTACCCACTTGGAATTCACATTTTTCTTTTAAGTCGCAAACTCTGTGTCTTTCTGGGGCTCAACGTACATTTCCTTGGGTATATCGATATCCAATATCCTTCTGGCATATATTCGGGCTAACCATTCTTATCTACTTCTATGGTCACTCATAGAGTAATTATCTCTCTGCACTCGCCAACTTTACTTTTCGTCATCACTTGTAAACTATATCTTCTAAACTTGGCACCACTTCATTTATCCATATGAAGCCATGGAAATTTGATTTTTCCTCGTCATCGTATTCTGCTTTCGGGGGGTCTATACACATTGGAGTGATCCATTATTATTTGAAACCTTCACATTGTATCCACAAAGAATGGTCAAAACCATTCATCTAGCACCCCCAAATTGTTAATCGATTTCAGATGTATATTTTACCTGCAGGAAACTCTCTAAACACTTATTACTATATCAAGCTAATTTTTTAATATATCATTTGTAAAACACATGAAACACAACACATACATATTGACACTTCAAAAGATGAAAAATGAGAATTTGTATAGATTAACAATTTCTTCGCATTATGTAGACACTGAAAACATCACTCCATATGCATTGAACAAAGACCATAGCTGCACTTGCACAACAATTGGTGTTTTTTTTTTTTTTTTTTTCTATTAAACAAATAACCCAAATCAAATTATGAATGAATTCCTCACAACCATGGAGGCTTCATGGTCAGGTTTGTTTTCTTAGTGTAAAATCTAGAAGGGATAATGTAATGTTTTGTGCAGCTAATAAGGGCATGCATTGAAACGAAAAATAAGAAGAAATTGCTACAAAAATACTACATGAAGCAAAATTAATGTTAGTTAAAAACCAAAAAAGATTTTAGCACCTCAAACATGTACTGTTTCCTCATATTGGAACACGAACAGTAGGTATGCTGCAAGTCAGCCGAAAAGTTAGGAAAGGGCAAGAAAGTAACATGTAGAGGATCCAGCAAGAGCGATATAAGCCACAAGAGTACAGTTGGAAAGTACACATACCATAAGATACCCATAACCACTATACACACGGATTACTTGATAAACATGAAAAAAGAACTTTTATTAACAGTACACTACCCGAAAAATTCACATAAAAAAAGAAACAAAGTAAAAAATGCTTGAAAACATACACGAACAAAGTCAAAAAGCATATATTCACAAAAAAATAGAAAATCAGAAATGAAAAGCTAGTCAAAAAACATAGCCACTAATTCGAAAAGGTGGTGGGGTGGAGAGAGGCTCGAACTCTGACCTCAGGATCACTCCAAGTATGAGACCTACGCGCTAGCCAACTGCGCCCACCCCACTTGCTAAATATTAAGAATCTAATTAAATAAAATATCCAAAACAGGATTCAACTGATAAGATATTCCAATTTAAAATAAAAAGAATCGTAATGGTTATGGAGATAATTTTGGAGGCTTTAAATATCCATTAAACAAATAAAATATCTAGATAAGTTGTTTGAAACTAACTTATTCATAATAAATAATTTGGCTGACTTCATTTAGAGGGTTTGATTTTCATTCGCTGAAACTGATGGAATGTTAATCTACCCCTTGAATTTGAAATCATGAATAGGGTTAGTAAAGAGTATCAAGTGAGGCTATATACAGAGTAGAATCTAAGGTTACCACTTGTTTTGTTACCGAATTCTTGATTAATATTTCTGTATTGTTCAATTAAATGAGTGTGGATTCCGCCATTTGGGCTTTTTTCCTGGTAATAACCCACGAGGATTTAGCAACTGCCTATGGATTTTGTGGTAGTATTAAATGGGCCCATTGGTTGGTCGGAGCCTTTTATTTTTTCCAATAAAGACATTTTTTTTTTGAACTGGAATTATGTCCAATTATAATCACTTCACTTGGAGAGGGATTGTATTTGAAACATTTGATTTTATCCAAAAATATGATATAAACAACATTTTATTAATCAAATCACAACTCTTAACAGACTGTAACAAAAATATTATAACAGAAACCTTGAATTGACAACTTCAACTAAATATTAAGTTGCGAAGAGTAGACAAAAACTAGGGAGGGCATGGCTGTTCTCTTTCATTTTTTCCCGGAGACAAGGGTAGTGCAAAATAATAAAATCTACTAGAGCTTTCAAGTGAAATGACGTTATATGCCCCAAATTACCATATCTTTATAAAGTTGTACAATATCTTTATAAAGTTGGACCATATAAAGATGGGAACTACTCGGGGCGGGGGGAGAGGAGATGTGACCCTAGAGATGGCAATTGTACCCAGATTTTGGGTACAGGGCTGGGCCGACGCATTACCCGTTGTGGGGATGGGCACAGGCTTGGGTATGGTTTTAGGGCTCGACCCGAGAATTCAATTTGTTCAGTTAAATTCATACCAATCACACATTAGGATAGTTCTCAAGTATTGGTAAATAAATAAAGATTTATATGGGTTTAGAGTAGAGAGTAATGCAATTGATTAGTGAGAGAGAGAGAGGGTGTTTAATTTTTTACCCGTCCGCTGAACCCGGTTGTCATGCATAACTTGATAATCAATTTTATCCCAACAACTTTGAACTAAAATTATTAATGATTTAGCGGAAATTTTTAGGAGTTAGATATATGGTAATCATAATTACCAATATTTGCAATAATAAAAGGAAATCCTTCTTTTAATAGAAATCATTTTGGTGTAATTATGAGAAGGATAAAGATCCTGAGAGAGGTAGCACAGTCACAGTGGCAAAAGAGGGGTTATACCATAATTGGGAGACTTTGAGGAAGAAAGAAATATGTAAAGAGAAAGGTATTTTGTTGCCCACAAAACAACTAGAATTTGTGGAAAGAAAGGATTTACGGTGCAGCTTTAAATAAACACATTGATTGGTGGGAGTTGGTGGATGGAGGAGGTAGTAGTGGGTGGGCTCAGCTTCACTCACAATAATAGGAATGAGCAAATAGAAAGACAGAGTAATATGTCTGATATCCTTGGTGTAAAAGAAAGTAGATGAAATCCAGCTCATTGTTCTCACAGAATAATACGACCCCACGTGGAGAGCACTGCCAGTTCACCCAGTTGTACACTACTCATAAAACTAGACTTCCTTATAGCTGTCTCCTCGTCCCTAACGCTGGCAACAAGCTAAATTATAACTCTTTTGTCTCTCTCTCTCTCTCTCTCTCTCTCTTCCATTGTTTCTGTGTGTGTATTTATGTCTTCAGAAAAATATGATTCAAACCAGAGAGATATGGACATGACAAACATGTATTTCCATTCAGGAAGTGGGAGAATCCTTCAAAGTCGTATGGGGGTATGGACAGCTTTATGGTTTTCCATTAACCTATAAAAAAATGCAATTAATATTAGCTTAATTGTATGTTGACTTGACTATTATAGAATGAGATGGTTACAATTTCTGCAGTTTAAAGTTTTGTTTCAATCACATCACATCACAGCCGCCCAGCCCACGGCTTAATTTGTTGCACATGATTTTCTATCTGTAGTGATTGTTAGATTAAATATATGGTCGATCCGTTTCTGATCCTAACTGTTTTATTCGTTTGGAAGTTGGCTTTGGAACAGCTCATGATTAGAGGGGCTTAGGAACATGGGTTCATGTGGGAATTATTCAAGAATCTTCTTGAGGATTAATGAGAGAAAACGTCAAAATTATATAGGCGTAAATTAGCTGTTCTTAACTTAATTACAGTAGTAGATCACCTAAGACAACTCAATGACCCTGATTAATGACCTAACACACTGCTTTAATTATAATGCCTCGTATTTAATAAGTCTCCACTCCATCAATCGCATTCAACCAATATTTTCTGTTGTGGATGTAAATAATCGAAACTATCAACTTTGATGATCATGATCATGATCATGATCATAGGGTCCATCTCAAGCGTTACATGACCCCGCATTGCCAATGAGTTACCAATTAATTTATATATATATTCTTATAATTAATTTAATAACAGGGATCATTATCCTATATTAAAAGTTGAAAACAAATTTACGAAATATATAAACAGGGAAAAGAAACAAACAGCTAATAGTTATATAGAAAACTAAGATTAAGGCAGAGGCCAAAAGAAAACATAGAGAATAACACTAAAAAAAAACAAGTAAAGAGATGGGAAAGGATTAATGATTGGAGGGTGGGAGGGTATATTAATGTATAACAGGGAGGACAGACTCAAGTCAAGTTTGTAGTGAAGCAGCTGTCATTCGATATTACAAAACCAACCTTTCTTCTCTCAATATACACCAAATTCCTTCTCTTTCTCCCTCTCTCTAAAAACCACTTGTTTTTTTTTTTTTTTCTTTTACTTAACCAACCCCATTTGTTCAGAAACAACCCATCAAATAATAACAACAGCTGCAACAACATAAACTAACTTCATCTCTTTCTCTGTTGTCCCTCTTCAATGATTCGTTTGTGTTGGTAACAGAAGGGATGGAGATAGAGCAAAAAGCTAAGGTGGAAGGGAAGATACACAGTTTAGTTAGTTATTATTGTCAATATTATATCTGATCGATCGATCAAGTTCATGCATATTATACGACAACAAACCAGTAGAAGGCCAAGAATAATACCCCATTGTTTTTCATTTTAATGATAATTTAGATGCCATGGCTTATCCACATTACCGATCACAGTTTGGTGACACGACGTTTACAAAGGTTTTTGTTGGGGGATTAGCTTGGGAGACCCCCACTGAAGAAATGAGTAGATATTTCGAGCAATTTGGAGACATTCTTGAAGCTGTTATTATCACTGATAAGAACACGGCAAAATCTAAAGGATACGGATTTGTAAGTCCGAAATTCATACGTGATTATATCAATTGTTCTTTCAGGTCTGTTCGTAGCTTAATTTCATTATCATTATTGTTTCATTTAGGTGACTTTTCGTGATCCGGAATCGGCCAGGAAGGCTTGTGAGAACCCAAATCCGGTGATCGATGGAAGAAGAGCTAATTGTAATATTGCTTCATTAGGACGGCCTAGACCTTCGCCACCTCGAGGTCCGTTTTTATACATTTTTATGATTGTTGTTTCTTCGGCCGGTGACAAGATGATAAAAGCATTTTGTGTAGAAGTATTATTGAAATGATAAATGTTTGGTGATACAGGAATTAGAAATCAAGGTGGCAACGTTTATCAGGGAGCTGCGGCGTCATATGGTGGAGTGGCAGCACCATTGCCTCCACCACCACCCCCTATCATTTGTCCACCTTATGGGTAAGTTGCTTTTTTCCTTTTCCTGAAAAATTGTTCATTTTACTTTCAGGAAATGGTCCATGCCCTTTAAAGTCCGATGCATTTTCATTTTCTTTTTTCTTTTGTCCTCCGTCGGTACGCTTCACATTACCTATTAATCATGTACAATATAGTTTTTCTCATTATTTTTATTTTTTGGGCGAAAACCGCGTATATACAACAGGTGTTTAATAGCATTTACAATCTTACATATGCATGAGGACAGCAACGAAACGGCCAGTGACCCCCCTGGTTTTCATAAATTAGTTTAGACCTCGTCAAAGAGAATGAACATTTTTTTTTTTTTTTTTTTTGAGAATTTACAAGAATTTGATATTTATTTAAACATGAGATTGATATTAATGAACTGATGTGTTATATATATATATATATTGGTTTAAATTGTGATATTGCCAGGACAGAACGATAGTGACATGGGTCAAACATTATCCAAGTAGTGCCCTTAATAAGCTGAGGAATTAATGTAGGGCCTATAATTTATATATAATAAAGTGTCGTAACTTATACAAGGGTGTATTTTTGTTATATTTATGGGTTAAAAAAATTAATATTATTATAGACTATAGTATTAGTAGCAAGCATAACCAACACTATCGTGGTAGGGCCCAAAAAAAAGCGTTACAATAATTTTGATCATGTTTCCATTCCTTACCTAAAGTAGCATAACATATGCTACATTCAGTAATTACTTCTCCACCAAATCAAGCTATCTTATTTAATTCTTTTTATCTTTTCTATTTCCAAAAGTAATTCATTCAATAAAATCTACTTTTTTTTCAGGTACCCAACTTACACTCCGGATTATGGCTACCATCATCAAGTTAGTGCTTCTGTTTTTTTCACTCTGTCAATTATTTTTTTACATTGAGTAATTAACATTACAATTGAGTGCGCACATGGTTGCATGCAGGCTCTCTATAACCCACAACTTCAAGTTCAACACCCACAATACTATCACCAAATGTACGGAACAAGTTCAACCACCATGGGTTCGCCCTATTATTATGGTTATTCTTTGCAATCTTCAAGGGGAACATACTCTGCACCTCCACAGCCACATCCTCAGCCGCAGCCTCAGCGAGTACCGCCTCTTTCCTATCTTTACTATCAGACTCCTCAAATGGAAGCCAACTATCCTCCTCCCCCGCCTCTTCAACTCCCAAGGCATCCCTTCCCCTTTAATTCTTCTGGTAATTTTACTAACCTTCCATTCATCATTAACAATATTAGTTGTACCCAGTAGTTTCTATAATGGATAGGTTGAAATTAGCAAAGTTATCTTCCTGTTGCTCTATCCGCAAATGCACACTGACACATGTATGGATAATTTTATATATATATAGTTATTATTAATTAGGAGGTTTAGTTTTGTAGGAAGAGGGATGGGGGGCCACATGGGCAACCTCAACCATGTGAGTGAGCTGTCTGGTTATTGCCATGACCCGATGATGGGTCAGTGGAAAGTCCATGACAAAGGAGCATAGTGTAATTAAATAGTGATTGCATGTGGTTTCAGTATTTAGATGATGGTTGATTCTGAAGATGCAGTCATAAAAAAGGCCCACTGCGCATGTTATCTACTGCCATATTGTCATTGCTTTAAGTGAAAACCAAAAGTAAAATATTAACAACAACAAGAACAATGGTGATTGATATATTTCATATTGCATCTTATTGGGGAAGACTATAAATTACAATCTGGTTAAGTTCATCACAGAGTAGCTTGGATTGCTCTGGTGAATGCCATTTTTTTTTAAATCATAAATATATTTGTATACTGCATAGTTATCAGGTTATGATCATTATTTTCATGACATGCACTTTTTTTGACAGTGACTGTACCAAATAATACAACTTTTGTCTTTCTTTTGGACTGAGACAAATGATCAAAATTGAAAAATTAATTTTTTTTTTTTTTATATCCAATTTATTGCTGTAGTTGAGCTGTCCTTCAAGTTAGACTGTACCATTTTCTAGGCAAGCCATAACCCCACTCGACCAGAAGCATCAAAAAGAAATTTTCCATTGGTATGGGTAATGTTCTCACAGAAGCAACGTGATAATGCTTAGAATAGTTATGGATGATTCTAATAGTCATTCTTTGACAACTGGGTCACCTTCAATCACGTCTTCCACAGTTAGTCAAATGAGATAACATGATTTGCAAATGGCTTGTACCTATAATCTTGTTGTTTATGTTATCTTCATCATAGCTGGAGGACCCTTTTGCTTAATTTCAAAAACAACTTTAAAGGTTTCTTTTCACAATTAGATTCTTAATTCTCTCGTAACTGTGTGTGCACCGTTGGTTTCAGATTCACAGACTCCACAGCAAACATCTGCAGAAACAGAAGCCCGAGAGGTTACTTCAGAAAGTCCAAATACCTAAGAACTTAATCTGATCGAGGGAAAAAGTTTCAATTGTAAAATCTTAATATGCTTATGCTCTTCTTATCACTCTATATCACTCCTATACTCAACCATTAATATATTTTTTCTGTCCAAAGCTGTAACATTTGGTGACTACAGCTTCAAGGGACTACTACTTGTGCTCTCCACAGTTACGGCATGCAGCAAAAGATGGACTAATCACCAACCTTATTCAGAATTTTCTGTTTTTCGAAAATTCTCCAAATGATTATTATTCTATTATTTCCCAATTTCATTTCAGTTCTTCATTCTCTAAGTAGAAAAATTTAACACCTTTTAGAAAATTTGTATGAACTGTGAACAAAATTTGGGAACTACATTTCCTCAATAAGAAAGAAATTTTGATAAATTATGAAGGTTTCAGATTTATGTTTCTTTTAATTTCTTCATAGTAGAAATTCATATGAATTTTATAGAAATGCATGATTGTGGCCACATCCATGGATGCTCTGAATGGGGGAATGAAGACTGTTTAAATATATTAATCAACTTCTGTATTCACAGTAATTTTCAAAGCAACAGGCTAACTTACCTGCGTTCATGTTAGCAATTCTGGTTCTGGAGGAAATTGATGTGAAATTAGCAGAAATTTGGCTCATTCTTCCGGAAAATAATTGAACAGAGAAAAACTTTGCTGATCATGACACTAAATTAAACCATCAATTTAGAGAAATTCTACAAATATATCAATTTTGCTTATAAAAGTTAATTACAAGCGAAATCTTAATCCATTGTATGGTAGTCACGGAAAAAGTGAAAATCTAAGTAAAGAACATCGATCCTTGTTTCTTATACTGTGGTTATTTCTCTGTGTAACATAAGAAAATAAGTCCACTGTATAATTTACTAGATTATTCCTTGTTTGAATGCCATACGCAAATCTTCAAAGAGTTTTATTGTATTAAATGGATATAAATGAGCAGTCATCATCACAATCCTTAGGTAGTAATTAATCATATCACCACTGCAATGCAATCTCTCTCTCTGCTGCTTGTGTCTGTTGTGAATCTAATGTCAAAGAATTGATTACCAATTAGAGTTAGCTTAAAGATAAATACTAAATTGCCATAGATTTTCAACCTTCTGCAGAGCAATTGTTGCCCAAATCAGAAAACATGGGCCACAGAATTTAAGGTATTTCCTTTCCATTCCTAAAGTTGATAAACAGAACAAACAGGAGAGATTTATTAGCCCCTTGACAAAGGTTGTTTTCATTCAACCACAATATTCTCCAGCCATGCACTCTACATCTACTCTTACTTTCTCTCGACCTTAATTTTCTGTTATAATTAATTTAATTCCAATCATCACTCCACAATCCACACTACAATATCTTATATTAAGAACCTCTTAAATCTCATTCTTTAATAATTTACTGAGTAATCCTGTTGTGTCATGAAGCCTTCAGATATTTCATGCCACTCCAGTTCCCTTGAGCCACTTGATCTCTTTCCAAGTGCAACACCAAATTCTCACGACTCTATGCCATTGCTAGACTCTTTACATGAAAAGCAGAAAGCACATGGTGAAGAAAAAGAGGATGTCACAGTGGCCTTGCACATTGGCCTTCCTAATTATTCATGCAGCATCAATAATCTTAACTTGAAGGGAAATGCAAATGTAGCAGCTCAACAATACTGGATACCGACTCCTGAACAAATACTCATAGGCTTTACTCATTTTTCTTGCCATGTTTGCTTCAAAACCTTCAATCGCTATAACAATCTTCAGGTACATGCAATAACTGAACAGCAACCAGTAAAGGGCTCTTGCAATATCAGTCTTTATTTAGTTTTAATAATTATAAGAGATTGTTATGTTATGTATCTTTTTTTAACATGTTTAATTTCCCTTTGTCATACTATGAGAATTCTGTGGCAGATGCACTTGTGGGGTCATGGATCTCAATATCGTAAAGGACCTGAATCACTAAAGGGAACCCAACCACGAGCTATATTAGGGATTCCATGCTATTGTTGCGCAGAAGGGTGCAAGAACAACATAAACCACCCCAAGCCAAAGCCGCTAAAAGATTTTCGAACATTACAAACGCATTACAAGAGGAAGCATGGACACAAACCTTTTATGTGTCGCAAGTGTGGCAAATTCTTGGCTGTGAAAGGTGACTGGCGAACTCATGAAAAGAATTGTGGCAAGCGTTGGCTATGTGTTTGTGGGTCAGATTTCAAACATAAGAGATCACTCAAAGACCACATTAAAGCATTTGGCTCTGGCCATGGCCCATTTCCTCCTCCTTTTGACGGTGTGGTACTCGAGGATGCTTCGTCTTCTTTAGTACTTTTGTAAACATTGTTCAAAACTACTAGAATAAGGCATGAATCAGTCGTGACATTTGGTGCAACCACTGGATTTCTTTTTAGCTTGTTGATTTGGTTACAATTCACGAGCGAAATGGTATTTTAAACTCTTAATTCTATTTAGACGTTTTATCATTAATAAAAACTTAAAAAGTGATGGACAACAGAAATAAAAGTTATTTCACTTTTATAACAAAAAAATGATCATATGATATTGAGATACTTTACCTCTCATAAATCAAAAAAAGTACAAGAGACCATCCAATAGGTTATTATAGTAGTAACTTTATCCAACATTAAAAGGATTTCTTATGTCCTTGGATATGTTGGTCTAAGGTAGGACTAAAGCACTTGACATTACACAATTAGCAAGTACAATCCAGATTTGATTGTCAAAATAATATGTTTGAAACGGTGATTTTTCAATTATTTGCATAGTCACTTCAACTGCATCAATTATTCAGTATGCATGGAAGTTGTCTTCTGCGCATCCACAAGAGTAGAGAGCACGTACCTTTTCTTGTTTTAACTTGAACGGCTTCATTTGTTAAATGCACAAGTGAGTGACTCAGATCTCTCGATGGACCTCCTATCTTGAAGCTGCTGACGCGCTAAATACTAAAACGTTTTTTTTTTTTTTTTTTTTTTTTTTTTTTTGGGACTCTGTTGTGGAGTTAGGAGATTTCGTTGACTATCGCCAATTTCTGGAAAAGGTCTATTCCCTCTCAAAAGTAATGCTGTTTATGTTATATTATAATTTGAAGCTACAGTTTTGTTAAAGTAATCATTCAACTTAAAAATCTTATATAAACTTGAAGTAAATGTAGTATGCGAATGAGACGATTTGATTAGAATTAATTAATTTGATGTATCAGGTTAATAACTATTGAAACCAAAAATTTAAGTGTTATTATTAAGGGATTTCTTTATGTAAGTTTGAAATTTGAAAATATTGAGAATGATTCCTTTCATATATAGACATACAGATATGAGTTACATGGCTAACGTTTTTGATTGGATACCTAGTGTGGAAGGTAAAAGATTGATTATTAAGTGCACATACAAAACTTTTATCAGAACTACAGATGCGGATGACACTATCCTCAATTAAGTGCTGAAAAATGAGGGTAATATCAATAGAAGAAGTTGATATTATACTCATTTTGGGTACTTTTAATTATAATGATTTAAAGCGTGAAGTTTTGGAACCAATTTCGTCCACTTAGCCTCCAATCAACAACAGGTTTCTTGGACTGGCTTGATTTGAAGAAATCAAACTCGGTTGTTTATGTTCACTTGGCAGCATAAACAAACCTTTTTATGGGTAATTAGGTTTGATGTAGTCAATCGTAAATCAGCCATTCTTCCTACTTTGTCGTAGAAACCACATGAAGTTGTCTCCTGGCAAGTTGGTGTCCCAAAGAAAAAGTTGTAATGCTCCCAGCGTTGGGAGGTTTCTGACACACATTAATTGAAATTCTACAGAAGAAAGTTTGTAAATGTAGTGGTGCTCCTATGATATGCTGCTGGCCTTTCTTTGCTGATCAGCAGCCAGCAGGCCAACACTGAGTTAGCTCTTTCACGACATATGAATAAATACTGATACAAAAAAGAGGTGATATTATGGTATGCAATAACATACTTTGACAATGATAAAAAATTAAGAACGTTACTACAGCATTTAGTAAGATGTCTCTGGCATATGTGACGCATTCAGTGATGTATTTAGAATAGGCCAGAACAGCAGTTAGCCATTAATTATCAGCAATATTCATACTGCAACAATGTTAATGGTGGATTTCCAGATTGTTGCCAAGAATTAATTTTGATTGTTTGTTAATTGATTCTACAAGTTTCCTGCTCTACTACTAAATGAACAATTAAGAAATACATGAATCATGAATCTTGTATTTCTTAATGGTTCATCTGTTACTGAAATTTGATTTGTGAATACGAAAATTCGTACCAACCAGAGAGATCCGATTGACCTTGGTGGAACCGGAACAGATGTGAGAGTGATTACGATAATCAACGAGGATGAATGATAAATGCAATAAAGAAAAAGACAATAAGATTTTTAAAGTGGTTCGGCGAGGTACCCTCTTATGCCTACGTCCATTGTTCTTGTATTTGCTATGAGAGCTTACAACAAGAGTTCTATGGAAATTCTCTAACCCTTTTTTCATCATTTAAAGGGGTTTATATACAAGGTTTGTACAAAGGAAAGAGCGAAAATAAAGGGATTACAATTGATTTGAACTGCAACTCTGATATTCTCGCCATTGGGCGCTGTGATTGCGCAGAGATTGTTTTTAATCTGGTCATTCCTATAATATTTGCTATCTAAAGTTATCTGGGAATTAATTGAATAATCATTCGGGTTGTTTGCGACTAGCTTGTGCTAGGTCGAGCTATATGTCGACGAGCTTATGTTGGGTCAGACAATCGGTAGAGTTGGACTGATTCTGGGTTGATCTAATTCCTCGCAATTCACCAGGCTTGATGGAAAAATCACACACAACATCTGTCCCCTAGTGTTCGATACTCGTTTCGTGCTTCGAAGACTATTGCTCGATTTGATATTAGCTCGACACTACCAACAAGTCACTGGATGCAGGTTCGGTAGAGCTTTAAGGGTTGACCTCACGCCTGGTCGACGTACTTCACACTTGAATTTTCATTTCCTGTGATACTTGACAAAACTCAGAAAATTAAAAGTTAGGGCAAATATGTGATTTCCATGCGATCATGTCACATTAAATGCAGCAGCCTTTGTCAGTCACGTTTCGTCGCGCGTGGGCGACTGCAGCTGTCCATGCGCTAAGTCAGGGTGACATGCGGTGACGGTTATCATTGTAGCTGTCTAACAGTTCATTGGCCCTTGCGGATGGATGACATGTGGCCACGTCTAAGGGCTGAGATTGCTCAACAAATGAAGGGTTGAGATTCACTATAGATGGATGGCTACAATTAAACCCCACCCTTTCGTCTTCCATGCAAACCACTATAAAAGGTGGTGAAGTCGTCAGAATACTCATTCAATCCACGAAAGTTTTTTGACACCTTTGTTCACTTTGTTGCTGTTTCATCATCGTCACGGTGCTCTCTCCGGCAAGTTCCTACACTTCTTTTGTTCCAGTAAGGTTCTTTTCCCTTTCTTTATCTATTTTTCTAATTTTCGCGACAAAGGGTGGCCATTGTTGTGGCCACATTAAGTGTTCTAGGGCTTTAGTAGGGTTTTTGGGTGCGTCTCCGACGATCTTGGGTTTAAGGTGGGTTTAACGAAGTGGCCACAAGAACCCTAGGTAGGTCGCGTGCGTTCATTGTGTGGCACGAGCTATCTTGGGTGCCTGAATTGAATGCAAGTGTGAAATGGTCGTCGAGTTTTTGGAGCTCTGACACATGTTCGCTTCTGTTTCAAGTACCCAGAAGTGAGCTATAATCATGTCTTCTTCTAGTAGTCACACAATCGATCGCATGTTCGACTCGCTCGTGGGCTCGACAGTCCTTGGGGATGCAACCCTTGAGGTCTTTGAGGAAATCATCGTGCGAAGCTCAGATCCCGACGCGGTGGGCTCTTCTGACCGTGCTTCGATACAGTTGGCTCAATCCAAGCGGTCTCCAATCCATAGGCTGTGAAGAGAACCACAATCTTCGATTACTATTGGGGATCTAGAGCTTATAAGACCTGTCTATGTGCCGCAACTTAATTTAATGGTTACAAGGGACTTTTCTCGAAAGAATCTCCCGCCCAGATGGGTGGCAATCTCTAAGACCCTTCTGAGATGTGGATTATCTATTCCTCCTCATCGTTTTATTAACAGCGTGTTGAAGCGGTTCGACATCATTTCTCTCCAGCTGTCTGCAAATTCGTATGTAATTATCATGAGTCTATACATAGCGTACATGATCACTGAATTGGGTAAGCCATTCGTCGAGGAGCTCGTCCATCTATATAGGCTCAAGAAAGGGCAAGACCAAACGTACTACATTCCTAAGGCGAGGAAGGTATGTTTTAACGGGCTTGTCGATGTCCCAAAAAAGGTTCCACATTGGGACTCACAATTTTTCTTCTATGAAGCTCGGGAGAGCGGTGTGTTCGCTTCGAAAACGAGTAAGACTTCGACTTTCCGTGCGTGCGAGGATTGCTTTTGAGCTTTGTATTCTAGATAATTGAGTTGCTTTATTTTGCAATTAACGTCGAGCAAACCTATCTCCTTGCCGCGAGCTTGCAGAGGCTCCAATGTTTCAACGACCTTCTCGACGAATAGTGTAATGTTAACGAGATCATCACGCCTTTTCACTTGAGGGCATACGGCTTATGTCGGGACGACGCCAAGTTTCCTACCATTTTTGAAAAAAGTTTAAGTTATCGTTTACTCGCGCTTATTCTCCTCGCGCGGATAGGTCGCTCACTGTTTGCTTATTTTTTGTAGACATGTAGGCCGAGAAACCAAAAGGCCTTAAGAAGAAAGCGACAGCCAAAAAGACATCGGTTGCTTTGGCGACGAAGCAACCCGCTGACATTGTCGGCATGAAGCGCGGCAGTGGCGAGCTTAGGGAAGGCCCAAGCGCGAAGAAGCCCGTGATTGCCTCAAAGGCAGTTGACGGGAAGAGTGTCTCTGAGCCCCAAAAGGGGCCGGCAAAAAAAAAGCCCAAGCCAGCTAGTGGCTCGGGAAAACAGAAAGGGCCCGAGTAGTACGATGGCTCGAGCAAAAGGAAATCGTCAGAGCCTTAGGCGGGCTCGAGAAAGCAGAAAGTGGTCGAACAGCAGGTTGGCTTGGGCAAAGAGGTCGCTGTGCAAGCTGGCGGCCTACAAAAAACAACGGCCAAGGATTTGGCCAAGAAAAAGTTCGCTCCTACGGGCCAGGCTAGAGGGAGTAAGTCTAGCTCTTCCCTTCCAAAAAGTAAGAAAATGGATGAAGCAGCCCAAGCTGCGGTCGACATGCTGATCGATCAACTCCCCGACTAGAGGTGGGCAGGGACCGG